GAAGTCCTCTTTTCCAAGTGACACAAATGCCATGTGTGTAACTTTCTTAGCATATATCTCTCCGATTATACCTGTCCCTTTGCCCTTGCTGCTCCATCAGCATCACCGTGCCTGTAAAATATGCTCTTCAGTTTGTCTTTTAATACTTCTCTCTAGATTATGCATCTCAAATGTACAAATGTTGTCAGATATAAAACTACATTATCTTACAATGTACTGAGAAATAATGGCACTCCTTTACAATATAATTATAGTTTTTAAGTTAGTTTTGTAGTTAGATGGATGTAGCTGACTAAATAATGGAGAAAGAATATCAAATAGTTGAACCACTGGCTTGTACTGTACCTTGTCTGGTTGTATGAGAAACATTCAAATCTTGTTTTTAAAAAAGTAACTAAGAAACAACCATTTATTTATCTTTAAGAATTAGGAAAGTAATGAGTTGCTTTAAAATGTAGCTATACTGACAGCTAGCTATATTTTGGGGGCATTGGATTTACAGCTGTAACTAATACATTTTTAATTTTTTTCCAATTTCTGGACTTTTCTGTGAAGCTGGTGCTATATAAATTAGCAGTATTTTTAAGAGCTTTCTTGTGTTGGCCACATACTGCAATTGAACACAACAGTTTTTCCATTCCTTTTATTAATATTCAGTCTCTTGGGATTTCTGTTTTTTCCCTACCAGTCTATGTGTGTAAAAGGAAGTGAAGGAAGTTAATATGTTCACTGACCTCAGATTAGTATTCCCAGAGCTTCACCCTCTCTAACTCAACATTTCTTATGATGTTCTTATCTGTGCTGCCTAAGATTAATTATGGCTTCCTCTAATTTAAGTACTTTAATAATGAAATAATTGTAATGCATTGGACATTTCATCTGAAATATAAGCCTCCTGCTTTCTTGCTAAACTGTAGCTGTGTAGATATAGTTCTGTGCTGCGAATAGCTGAAAGCTTGATTTAAAAAAATAAAACAAATTTATACAATTTTCTGAAATTCTCATTACAAAAACTGTTTGTTCTGAAGGTTATCTTGTCCCTCTAGTTCTCAAAAACGTGTGTGTCAAAAATATTTTGTGGATGAGAATATATATGTATGTATGAAGTGTCATTTTATTGTGGAGGAGGGTTACATGAGAGAAATTGAACTACTTACATCTCTAATGCCTGTACAATTAAACATTCTCTAATTTTAAGTAACATCCAGTGAGCTAAAACAGATGTTTGTTTTTTGCACTAGTGTTCACTGTTACATTATTGTTGCTGCTTTTATTTTAATATGCCAGTGTGATTATAGGCAGGTGAAGGTAGGAAGCAAGCAAGTCTTTGTTAGTCTTTTCTTATCTGCCACTTATTCCCTGCTCTCTCTAGGCTGCTGAAGCATAAGAATGCTTTTGGAGTTTTTAACATTGTAAATTGCAAAGTTATTCAAAGTTTTGGGATTTTTTTTTTGCTTTGCTTTACTTTTTTTTAAACTCAGAATGCTATAGCATGAGTAGCAGTGTAGCTGCTAAAATGTGTAACATGTTTCCTATTTATTTATTTATTTGTTAGTTAGTTAGTTAGTTAGTTAGTTAGTTAGTTAGTTAGTCAGTTAGTCAGTTAGTCAGTTAGTTAGTTATATCCCACCCATCTAGTCAATAGACTACTCCGGGGGGCGTACAACATATAAAATAAAACAATTTAAAATATAACAGTGATATAAGACATCATAACCAAACTGATCCCAGATGGAAAAGGTGAAAAGAGTAAATCAGATAGTGGTTGGAGGGAAGGCCTGCCTAAACAGCCAGGTTTTCAATTGGCTTTTAAAGATACCCAGCGAAGGGGCCATGTTGATCTCTGGAGGTAGATTATTCCAAAGACGAGGAGCCACTGCCGAGAAGGCTCGGTTTCTTGTTTTTTCCTTCCGGGTCTCCCTTGGCATTAGGCTCCTCAGCCTTACCTCCTGGTTAGATCAATTGATATGGGTAGATTTTGGTGGGAGTAGGCGCTCCGCCAAGTATCGAGGCCCTAGACCGTAAGCATTCTGCACCATTTGAAGTTTCTGCATCAACCTCAAAGGTAGCCCCACGTAGAGAGCATTACAGTAGTTTAATCTCGAGATTACAAGCACATCTACCAAAGTGGTAAGCACCCTAACATTAAGATAGGAATGTAGCTGGGCTATCCACCAAAGATGAAAATAGGCGGAGCAGACCACTGACACCACCTGAGTCTCCATGGTGAGCGCCGGGTCCAGGTGGATCCCCAAGCTGCATACTTCACTCTTCGTGGTAAGAGTCACCCTCCCCCAATGAGAGTTCCCCAGACCGCGGATGGTGGGGCCACTGACCCTCAGGACATCCGTCTTGTCCGGATTCAGCCTCAGCTCATTTTCCTGCATCCATTGCAGTACAACCTCCAAGCAGCACTGAAGGCACAGAACGGCATCCACTGCAGTTGGTGAAAAGGAGATGTAGAGCTGGGTGTCATCAGCATACTGATGGCACGATGCGCCACACCCCCTGATAACCTCACCTAGCAGCCTCATATAGATATTAAACAACATTGGGGAAATAATTGAACCCTGAGGAACCCCACAATTGAGGCTCCATGGGGCCGATACCCTCTCCCCAAGCTGTATTCTTTGAGGACAGTCCTCCAGGAAGGATTGGAGTCAGGCACACTAGCAATCTATTCCAACTATGGAGCCACTGCTGGAAGTTGGATAATCAAAAGCCAAGAAAGAATGGGAAGTCAAAAGCTATATTTTAAGACAACCCCGTGAAGTGTTTTTCCAGGTTACAATAGAAGTACTTAATTTTAAAATGTTTTATGTCTACACTGACAAAGGACCTGCATGGTGTTCTATTTATTTTCTAAATCTATATAGCAATGTTGTCAGAGTTGTCATTTGAAAAAGGATGTGATGTTTAATTGAAAGGATATTGTTTAGTGTCAAATTAAGGACATTTACATTGGTTGTTGTTGTTGTTTTGAAGAATTTATTGAAATATGTGTTTGAAATGTGCCCTTAATATGTATCTAAATAGTGTCCAGGCTTCTGCACTGTTTTCAGATAAATGTGCAAAAGGACCTGCACACCAAATCAGAGTTATCTGTGCTATTACAGGGTGATTGAGATGAGGCAAAGAGCTGCTCATCACAACTAGAGTAGATTAGTTCTACAACAGATCCAGTTGTATCCCATATGGTATCTGTTGGGTTAGAAAGATAGTCAACAATTTCAATAGAGGAAAGGAGAAGTCAAAACAGCCAGTGGACAGAGCTACTGGCACTAGTGGAGATTTTGTGTGACAGCTGTCAGCCAATAAAAATCTAAGAATTCTTCTGAACATTCCGCTAGAGTGCTATGTATGCGTAGTATATGTATTGCAACTGCTCAATCCACTATTTTGTGAAGCTGGAAATGTGCAGATAATGTCATGGACCTATGAAGGGAACAGACTGAAATGGCTCCTCAAGGGAACTCACCTGTTTGGATGTGGGCTGAGGGTTTCTGTACAATAATAATGACCATAGTTTCCTATCTAAGGTTGTTTCTTCTTTCACTGCTTAACCCTATTTGAAATGATAAAAGAATGTTAAGAATATTGAACTAGAACTTGGAAATAGGCTCAAGTCTTTGTTTAACCATGATACTCACTGGGTGATCTTTGGACATTCTCTTCCTCTCTAAACCTAATCTTAAAATGGGGTGTGGTAAGGGCCATGTATATAACTTTATTGAGGCAGGCTGTACTTGTAATAAATACCATTAGAAAAAATTCTTATACCTCCATTAGAAAATAAATTAATGAATGTGAGAACTATAGAAAATTTGATCAGACACCTTAATATTTAGGATATGTTCTTAATATTGCAGCTGGGAAGTCTTGCGGTTTCTTCTTTCTAATCTAAGATGGTGGGTAGAAGAATATAGCTTTGATGGCTTTCGATTTGATGGTGTATCATCTATGCTGTATCACCATCATGGTGTTGGTAAGTTCAGTCTGTTTATCAGTGATGCTTGTAATGTAATTTATGGATCTAGCTGCACAAAAGTTTCAAATTTTTTAATGGTTGCTTTCAAAATTCTGTACTAAGGTTTACAGAATCAACTTCCTACATTTATATATTTTTTAATTATCATTGTCTTGTTAGGTGAAGCCTTTAGTGGAGATTATAATGAATATTTTGGTATGCATGTAGATGAAGATGCTCTGGCATACCTAACAATGGCAAACTACATGATACATCTCTTGCATCCGGAATGTATAACAATAGCAGAGGTAATGGCTCAGAATACATGTTACGATAATTGCTTTTTGCTGTTCTCTTATTTGAAAGATGTTTTAACTTAAACAATAATCAATTACAATTACTTCTACTTATATATCCTTAAGCATGATCAAGCTCCTGTTAAACATTTTATTTTCAATCCAATTGATTTCAATTGGAGAATTAAATACGTGCTTAAATCTCAGTCATTTTAATCACTGAAACCTAAATACACTCTGGGCTGGATTGCTTACCTTGTTAGTAATTTTAATTTCTGCTCAAAAAAATAATCTAATTTACACTGCAGTCCTGTACTCATTTCCTGCACTCAGTGGAGCTTACTTGTGAGTATACATGTAAAACATTGTGCTTAGTAAACATTAATATATCACTCCAAATGTTTTTCTTTTAGTATACATGGTAACTACTAGCACTCTTCTAAGAAGTTAGTTCTGTAGTATAATTTAATAGGCAGAGTGAGATTTTTTCACAGATGAGATGATTAATTAAGAGAATATTGAGACTTAAAATGGAATGTGATTGTTAAAATTCTTTTGAGGATCATATTCTGTTTTAATACATGAACTTACTTGTAATATGCAGAAATTCTCCAGTTGTTTAAGGTGATGAAATCTTATATTTAATACTGCCAAAACTAATATATGTATCACTGAAAATTCTCGTCTCTGATAAATGATAAGCATTCTTTGGAGTGCTTATCATGAGTATTCTTTGGAATGCTTAAGTCTTTGTGCATGATTTATAAATGAAATTATGTAGTCAATAAGAAGTGCTTTTTTGAGGTTCAAATGAATGTTCTTGGCATGAAGAATTATTAAACTTCAAAGGACTAATCTTGAATGGAAAGATCACATATGTCATTTGCAGTTATTTCAAGCAAAGAATTATGGCTAGACTCTTGAACAATTTATGTCTCTTATTACTTACCATTGTGTTATTATTTTGTACACAACTTGCATGAATATACTTCTGGGAGTGGGTGCGGAAGGGGAATTACAGCCAGTCAGAAATACCTGGTAAGCATCCAAGCACCAAATATCTAAGTTGGGGAGGGTTTGTGCAGGAGCAACAACCTTAGGTAACTTTAAAAGCAGAACATTATGCTACCATGTAAGTGTGGGATATAAGGATTTTACACTTATTCATAAAATAAGTAATGTGTATGTTGTAACATTTTGAAATACTCCTTTCAAAGCCGTAATGTGTATGTAGTAACATTTTGAAATACTCCTTTAAAAAGATACTAGCAAGATATCAATGACATCCAGTATTTAAAACAGAAGCTGATTAAATTAAGCAGTTATGGGGTGTATTAAATTTAGGATTATCTCATTGATTTTGTGGTCCATTTCAAAAGCAGTCCATCATCCAGTGAGCCACCAGATGGTTATCAGTATTCCTACCAATGAAACAAAACGAAACGAAGCTGGTTTGCATTACCTCATTTAAACTTTTTTAAAAGCAAGATGTTCCTTCAATTTATTCTACTTAAATTGAAAACTACTTCAACTTCAATACATCATTTTTTCTGTCTTGTGGGAGCTCCTATACGAAATGTGGAATTGATCCACATGCTCATGGTGGAAAGAAATAGGGCAGGAGAAACTATTGATATTCTAAATTACAAATGGCTAACATGAATTTGTGCTTGCATGTAATGATAGTGGAATGAGTGGCGCCACATGAGAGGAGCACGCTATTGTCTAGAGTAGGATCGATTTGTAGTCCTGTTCTGTAAGGGCCTGTCTGATAAAATTAAGTAACAGAATGTGCTTTTTAAAAATTCTGAATATTCTCTGGCTGAAGACATGTTCTTCCATTATTTTCCATGCCCACACAGGAGCAAAAAATGGGTTAGAGAAGTAATGCAGCTCTCATTGTTGCCTATGATCAGATTCTACTACTATTATACCAGTGTACGATTAATAGTGAGAAATGTAAATGACAGTGGAATAATATATTTTATTAAAAGTTCATGTTTCCTCTCATGCACGTACCATGTACAGTTTCATACACACTACATTTGTAAAGCTGAAGCGGTGTGTCGATTTTTTTTGTTTCATCTTCCCCAATTCCTCAAGATAGAAGTAATAGGAAACTCACAGTTGGAAACTTTCCCTCTTATAGAAATATTAGTTTGGTACATTTGTAATATTAGTAGGATTTTAAAGTTTTACAGTATTTGTAGTTGAGTATCCACATAGGGTTTTTTTTCTCCTTTCCTCTCTCCAGAAAATCCTTTCCCCTCTCTCAATAAAATTTTCCTACCTGTCAAATAACTCTTCAATTATTCTTCAAGGAAGTGTCTGGGATGCCGGCTCTTTGCTGTCCAGTGACAGAAGGAGGAATAGGATTTGATTATCGGCTGGCCATGGCAATTCCTGACAAATGGATTCAGGTCAGAGGATGGTCACTTCCTCTTTCCTTTCTTTCCCTTTTCATAGTTAAATATTTGGAATGTTGCTGTTGTTTCGATAATTGCATTTTCACATGTTTTGCCTTGGCTTACTGGGAAGCCACAGTGCTGTGGCCACTATTCGTCTTCTCTGGCTCCATTGTGCATACCAAAGAAAAGAGATGGAGTGGGGGATCCCCAGTTGCCCTAGAAGGTACTGCTCGGCTTTGTTTTGCAAAGGTCTATCCAACATATGACTAATTGTTTTGCAATAATATTTAATAGCTTAGTTTTCATTGTCATGGCTTTGTGAGTTGAATTTTTTATAATCCTTACAGCAAGCGTAACTCCTAACAAAATGAAGATTAAGAATGTATCTGTTATGCACATGCAGTAAGAGAAGTATTGTATGGCACACTAATTGTCTATTTCTAAATCTGGTGACTTAAGCACAGCTAGATGTACCTCCATGTTAGGCTTGCCAGTGTGGCACTATGGTGATTTTTTTTAAAAAAGAAAGAAAAATCTGTAACTACTTTTCTCCCATTCTTTTTGAAATAATGGCATGCTAAGTAAATCCAGAACTTTTCTCTAAGAATGCAAATGCTATTCAACAGAGGAGAAAATCATAGGAACAGGGGCGAAATGGGCAGATATATCGAAGAATTGGTCTATCAGTTACATATTTATACAGTAGAAAACACATCTTCAACAATTGCAACATAAGATGACAGTAATAAAATAGTATGTTTCTTGAGTTAGCTACAGCTTTAAAGATTTGCAGCCTAAAAGGTCTGCAGGGTCAACCTTTTCTGCTCTTTGAAGAATGTCCATTATTTTAAAGCATAATTCATCCTTTCTGATTTCTCCCAAGACTCAAAATGCTTTCATAATGTAGCATAATTTCATTTCACCAGGTATTCCATGCAACTATTGTTCCACTAGAGAAGGTGCAACAGCTGGGAGAATCTGCAACCATTAATGGAACAATATGACAATTTATGTTTTTTCCACTACTGTTATGTTAAATATGACTTGACATTCCTAAATGGGCGTCTCCATCTCCCTTCACTCCTAGCCTGGCTCCTTTCCATTCCAAATCCATGTTCCTCCAGTTAGAGAACAGTAGAAAGGAAATTGGGGGATCAGTGTCAGAGGCAGTAGGAACTACTAATGTAGGAAGACTATTGTTCCTTTAGGGTGCCGTTTTATGTTGACTGACATAGATGATATTCCATATAAAACCTTCTGGCACGTAAACTGGTTATACATCTCTCTTACATCTGCTGAAGTGTACTTCAGTCTATGAACGATTGTACCAAACAAAACTTGCTAGTCTGTGAGGTGCATCAGTACTCATCAGCAACTTTATAGTGTAACACTTCTGGAAGTGAAAGGTTGGTTGGCTGCCCACCATTGCCCAAGGGACACCCTCGTGTGCTCACAATGCTTTGCCACTCTTCAAGGAGGCTCCTTCTGTTTCTCCTATATATTAAAGCAGAAGGAGCTAGGCTAAACTTATGGAGAACAAAAACAACGGACTTTACCAAATGGATGAATGATGAACATTGTCTCCCGCCAGGGCAAAACTGTAGCTGGACTATCTGGAAGAATAGACTTCAAAATGAAGTAGGAAGGTCAAAGGATAATCAAGTAAAATGGGGCTACCTAGATACTGGAAAAATCTGTGACTATGGAGAAATTCAATCAGTGCTGTACTTATGTGCATGAAATTTATGCCTTGACACATGTACAAAAGAAGATCTGGCAAATGACCAAGATAATGCTATTGAAGTAGCCTGTTTCTGGTCAAAAATAGTCTGATTATTTTAACATCTTAATTGGTTTTAATTTTACCTGTATTTCAAATAGGTCCATAATTTTAAACTGGACAACACTCTGATATGAATAAAGAGAGCCACAGTACTCTTTGTTACATATTTTACATCAATGTTTATAGATTAACATTGTTACACAAAAGGCTATGTGTATGTGTCTAGAAACAAATTCTATTCTATGTATACAGTTTTATTCTATTTCAGTTCCTTAGGTCATTTGAGGGTCATCATACCAAAATAAGATTCACTTGTGTACATGACACATGTGGTTAAGCAAATAAAAGGTTTTTTGTACATGTTACGTGCGCCGTGCAGTTTAGCAAAGTGGAAGTAAAGAAGTTTTGTATTTTCATTTTGCCATGGTCTAAGAACAGATTAGCCTGTTTTGATATTTAATTAATTTTTAACTTGATCCAAGCATTTCTGTGTGACATGCCAGACAGTAAAATCCCCAGTGAAACAGTACAGAAATAACTTCTCTTCTTTTAAGGTTCAATTAGAGCCAATACAATCATCAGAGGCTTATGCAGTATTCCATAACAAGAAACAGGAAGGTTTAGTGGTGAAATTGCTACATTTAGTCAACCATTAAAATGATGGCAAATAGCCCTCACTGTTTTACAGAAGTACAGAGGAAATCAATTTAAATAGCATTGACATGCATAGTTATTAATCAGACGTTGGCAGATGTTTTGGCAGAAAAATAAAATATGGGGTTTAAAATGTAGAATATTATGGAGTTGAGACAAAAATCCCATTTTATAAATCCAAGAACATACTTTTCCCATTTCACATTTTCTGAAAGAATATGAATATTAGTTTTACAGTTGAGAAGGAAAAGCTTAGGGAGAAATGATGAAGTGTAACAGAGACAAAAATAATAATTCCTTTTAATCTTGCAGATAATTAAGGAGCTAAAGGATGAAGACTGGGACATGGGAAATATTGTGTTCACATTAACGAATAGACGATACGGAGAGAAATATATTGCATATGCAGAGAGTCATGACCAGGTACTATAACAAGCTTTAACATAAAATTGAAATGTTCAAATATTGTTGGATGAGTGGGTGCATATTTTGAATACAATGAACAGTTCGTTGGGCTCATCCAGATTTTGTTATAATTAGAGTATACCCACTGAAATGAATGGGGTTTTAGTTATGCATTTCTTTTATTTTTTAAATACAACTGAGGTTGACTCTGACCTGTTTTGTTCAATGTTGTCAATAACAGGAATTCATGGGGTAAAATCTAATAATGTCTGAACAGTGAGGGAGTGGATTCTGTTAGTGGACAAATAAGCTCATCCTCTGCAACCCGTATTCTACATTTCTCTATACCAGTCCTCCCTACACATTTGATTATTACTCTTCCAATATTTTCCAGTTGTTAACCTTGCCACTGTCAACATTATAACGATTAATTCATTTTCTTCTCTCTTCAATTCATTGTTACACCAGAGCCAACAAAGTAATCATTGGTGACATTTGTACATCCACACCAATTATTTCTCTTGTCTCTTTGAAAATTATTGCCCATTTCTTCTTCCGTATTTCACAAAACCATCACATACATAATACTTATATTAGACCACTAAAATCTCAAATACATGTATACACTAGCTTTCACGTCCAGCAGAAATTCTTTGTTAGGCTATTGTAAAATCAAGGATGCCACGAAAAAGAGAAATTCCCAGATATCTCTGAAATAATATTAGCCTTAAAAAATGTGGTCATAGGTTAAAACCTTCTTTAGGACCAGTGGGCAAGCTTTGAAATTCTCACAAACTATGAGTTTGAAGGAGTGGGAACTATTTGTTTGTTTGTTTGTTTGTTACAATTAAAATACAATAAAAAACTAGTTTCTTTTGCTTAACATGAGAAGCAGATCCAGGGCAAATTTTGCCATATGTTTTTTTTTAAAAAAAGGAAATAATACTTTCTGTATTTGTTTGTCTTAGCTTCTCTAGAGGATAACTTGACGATTGCAAAGCCCATCAGAAGACCTAACCTATTAACATCTGTAACTTCTTCCTAAAGTTCTATCTTAATACTATGAGAAATACAGACACTATGGCTGCAGCAGTCAAGCTATGTTCATTTCTCCATCCTTTTTGTAACTAATGATCCTGTTTCCCTAAAGAGACCAAGATCGCGGTCAGAGAGTCCCTCTGGGCACAAAACTACCACTTTTATTCCCTGAGGTAGGTCCTGTAGGCCTTGGAAGTGCGTAATAAGCCCCATAGACAAGCCTGAACCTCAAAAGTAACCTTTGATTGCTTCCAAAGCAATAAAACATAGGCTTTGTGTTTCCTTAGAATGCACAACAGCCTTACCAAGTAGGATAGTAGGACTTCTTAACTTACAGTGGCAACTATTACCTTTCTTTAATCCATGCTGGATTTAGATATAGTCCTGCTGTAGCAAGACTAGACCCCTGTTGAAGAATTATATTTTTTTATTAAGAAAATAAAATAGATACATTAACAAGCTACAAGTTGTAGCTTCAAAGCATAAGCATTGTGCATATCCATCTGTTACAATGTTTAAATAAACTTACAATTTCTAATTACAATAAAAACAGCTAGGTTATAATCTTTTCTCTACACCGCTACATGTTGGCATCTAGAAGCTGGGCTATTCCCCCCCTTCTTCCTGAAAAGAAAAACAAGCCTCTCTGTCTCACATTCCACAGCATTCATGGACCGTTTTACACATACACAAATCCTCTCATTTTACAACTCTTTAGGACGTTCTCCTTCATTGCAGTTTCAAGCTGACACCCAATTAAGTCCAAGTGGGTATAACTGAGATCACTTTGATCAATGCCCAAAGTTCTCATGCTTCAGGCTCCAGGTGTCTTATCTTGGTCTTTTGTTTTGTCTTCTTTTCCTGGACTGTCCAACCTTATAACTTTGACAAACAACTCTGCACAACGAGCTCATGAAAAACATCTCTTTCTGAATTCATCTTACACAGAACCTAACAGACTCCATTTTTGCATAGCTACAATTTCCAATTTCCTTCCATTCTACCAAGTTAAGAATTTTACATTTCAGTGTTTGCTGGGTTTCTTTTCTGATTTTCCCTCCTTTAAAATATATTGTCATATTGTGGGTGATAAACTGGATTTTACTTTTATTATTGCTGTTTTACAGATGGATAGTTAAGGAAGAGGGAGGGATTACCTGAACCTATGTCAGATATAAAATTTGAATTTGAGATCTCTGGTTCATTGCAGTGGTGCAGCAGTATAGATATGGCTACTTCAGGAAGAATCTCCATGTATTAGGACTGCTTCATGCATTGTCACGTAGATAGTTTGGTACAAAGATGTGAATCTCACAATATCTTGCTCTCAGCAAGAAACAGAGAAAAAAAAATCCCTCTTTTCTCCCTGTAGCATGATTTTTCTATGTGATTTTTTTTCCTGACAACATTTCATAGGACTTAAAGAATCTGTAGTCTTTTTCCCCCTGGGAAACACCAGACTGCATAGAACTGTCAGAGTTCCTATGTAGAATGACATATTTTCAGCACAGGATTCCATGGAAAGGAATTTGGTAGTTTTCTTCTGCAAAAGAAAAGTAGAAAATAGAAAACAAACAAACAGGAGAAATGAGGCCATGTTTTCATGGGAAGCTGATATTGCTGGTGCATGGGGACAACTTAGCAAGGAGTTTCAGCATGGCAAGACTTGCAAAACTGCCGAGAACAAGATTTTTTCCCCAAGTTCTCTCTGCAACCCTACTTTAATATATGGCACGTGTTTCATTTTTATGTGTTTTCTTCAGGCATTTGGAGGAGGTGGTATGTTTTGCTCTTTTTCTGCTCTTAGCACCTGATATGCTGAATAGCAAAATTATTTGGCCAGTTGAGGTATTTTTAAAAAATCTGTGCTAAAGATTTTCACCTGTTCTCATCCTTACTGAAATGGAACACTTGGCTGCAAGGACAGCGGTTAGAAATTCGGTTTCTCCACTGTGCCTCGTAGAAGAAGAGTCATTCTGAGAGTCCATTCTAAGCGGCCTTGGGCAAACTACATGGACCGAGAGAACACCAAGACAAAGGGAATGTTAAACCACTTCTGAGTATTCCATACCTAGAAAATCCTGGGAAGGGTCTCCATAATCTGGAAGAAGACATAGTTGTTATGATATTGAACTTTTAATCAAAGACGCTTTGCAGCATATTAATTAATTAAAGATATTTTTTACCCTGCCCTTCTCCTAAAAAGGACCCAAGGCAGCTATTAAGAAGTTGTAATTTTTTAAAATATGCAAATATTGTAGCAAAACTGGAGTTAAGATGTGACTAAAGGAGTGGAGGGTTTATTTATTTGGCAGTTCTGTTACTTTGACAGAATCATCTTTTTTGGATTCTGCAGCCTGTATCATTTTAAGAGAGAGAGTGAATGAGTGAGTGAGTGAGTGGGTGGGTGAGTGAGTTTTCTAGGTATTTTTCAGTACCACAGACAGAGATTACCCCCAACAACTAGGTGTTCTAACTGTGTGGATTGGACAACACCATGTAGTCTGAAAGTTAATCATATATTATCTCTTTTGGACATTGCTAGTACAACACCTCCTCTTCCCCCAAACCCTGAAAAATATATGAGTAAGCAAAAATTCTCTTCACTTTTTTACCGCTGTCTCTAGGGAATTCAAGATAGTGCACATGCGTAACTCTCTGCCTGTTTTCCTTTAGACAACAGCTATGTAAAGTGAAGTAAACTAAGTGATTACCTATAATCACCCATTAAGCTTCATGGTATAGTAAGGCTTTGGATTGGCCTTTGCAGTCTTAGTCAAAGACATTGGTCAGAAAATCCTTTTGGTGTTTTACACATCTGTAGATTAAACTGTGTAATTAACCACAGCAAATTGCTGTTAACTAACAAGGTTCTGGTCACCTTAAGATATATGTGCCTGACTATACAACATACACATTAAGAGATATTTGCCTGACTGTACAACATGCCTAGTAATGTGTTCACTACCTTGTTAGTTAGGAACAATTTGGTGTGGTGAGTCAAATGCTTTTAAATAATTTAAATCACCAACAGTGTTCTAGCTGTTACCTCAGCCCACATTGGCTTTCTTTTGACATGTCTTGAGCTATAAATGAAATTGTTGTACTCAAAGCTAAATGTCTATATAGAAGAAAAATATTTTGGAGGTGCTCCCTGTTCAAATGCCTTTTGGCCCTGGAGACAGCTTGTAAATTAAGTAGCCTTGAACTTAAATAATCTCTAGCCACATGAATCCAAAGCTAAATAACTGCTTGAAATATTGGTATACCAATAGGATGCCGCAGAAATATGTTACTGAATTTACTACTATACTTAGCGGAGTGGTTGCAGGACAGGATAATATAGAAATAATATCTTGGGGGTAATTATTGATTTCATATAAATTAAAGTGCCATTTTTGGCTCAAGTACTTAAAAGGATCTCCTTAAGTAGTATTCTTAGATAATGTTACATGTTCTGAAATGTTTATATTGTTTAAACCTGACTTCATATCATCACATACTGTATTAACTGAAGAATATGATAGGTTTGTTTTTCTATCTCCTTACTTACTTTATCAATGCAGGCTCTTGTTGGTGATAAGACCTTGGCATTCCGTCTAATGGATGCAGAGATGTATGACAATATGAGTGTTTTGGCACCTTTTACACCAGTTATTGATCGAGGAATACAGCTTCATAAAATGATACGCCTCATTACCCATGCATTGGGAGGAGAGGGCTACCTTAATTTCATGGGTAAGTCATTCTGGATATAGGCCCCTGATTTTCTTATGTAGTTAGAACTGGAGATAAACAAAGTTATCCTATAACATGAAGCTCTGTGGGCACCTCAGCACGTGTGTGTGTGTGGTGGGGAAATCCTCTGCCGCTGTTCTCCTCAAATGGTGTTCTTCTCCCCTCAAATGGTGTTTCCCTAACATCCTTTGCTCCTTGTCTTGGCTATCTTTCCTGGCAAATATTTATCTCCTCACCATCCCTTTTATCAGTTAAAACAATATTATCTGCAAGGCTTAGAAAGCTAGGAGCTTAGAGATCCAGGAATTATTTTTTAAATAGAAATCTTAATTATTTCAGCAGAGTTTGTAACTTCAGAGGTTTGTAACTTAATATCAGTTATGTTGCCATTCTACTAATAACATTTGTTGTTTCGACAAGGCCTTTTGCAAAGCTTGGAGCTAACAAGGGACTGCAACATCAGCAATTTAAAACCATAAATTATTAGAAAACACACTTACTGTGATATAAATGTGTTGAAACTTCAGAGTGCAAACTGTCAGATCTGAGTATGTCACCTCTAGGTTGTAACCAAAACATAGTTCAGCTGTCAGAATATGATAATAAAATATCCTTGTTCAGCTTGAGAGCTAGCCAATTGTTTTGGATGACTAAGAGTAAACAACAACCTATTTCTAAGCCATAATTTCTAAACAAACTTTCAGTTTTGGGACTGCTTCTCCTATACACCTCATTAGTATTTTAATGCATAGCTTAATGCACATTTTCACACCATGACAGATGAGTAAGGTCAGATAGGTTTTAGTGGTCTTTAGTACTTTCAGCTGATCAAAATACTTTTCACTTAGATTGACAAGGCAGAAAACACATTCTTGGTTGAGGAATAACACTGTGTGTTCCTCTGCCTATGAATCCAGAACTCCTTACCTTAAAGGTAAAGATTTCCCTTGACAAATGTCCAGTGGTGTCCGACTCTAGGGGGTGGTGCTCATCCCCGTTTCCAAGCCATAGAGCCAGTGTTTGTCCATAGACAGTTTCCATGGTCACGTGGCCAGCACGACTAGACACGGAACGCCGTTACCTTCCCACAGAGGTGGCACCTATTTATCTACTCACATTTTTACATGCTTTTGGACTGCTAGGTTGGCAGGAGCTGGGACAAGCAACGGGAGCTCACTCTATCACATGGATTCGATCTTACAACTGCTGGTCTTCTGACCTTGCAGCACAGAGGCTTCTGCAGTTTAACCCGGAGCGCCACCACGTCCCTCCTCACCTATAACCCAATTCAAAAACAATTAGCCTTCTAGTCCTTGCCTGTAATCCAGATAATTTGGACCCCCAAGGGAATGTCTGTTGTATTTGTTTTTCTGGGTGAATAAGTAGGAGGAGAGCCTTCATACCCAAACAGGTAACTGCAGGGAGGAAGAACTGTTCAGCCAAAGGAATCTTTATTGATCATAGGCTGCCTCAGAAGATCTGGCAATCTAGGCAGCATTAACTATAAATTTTAGTGATAGCTTCTATTTCTTAGGAAGTAAACATATATATTAAGCCCCAAATAGCTATGGCCATCCCTGTTGAGCTTACACTACAGGAAGCTGGATCATTTTCTCTCACTATATTCAAAAAAATCTGTTGACTGGTGATGGATTACTGTTACATGTACAATGTTAAAATGGTATGATAAATGATATATATTTTTTCAGTGTAACAGATCTGTTGAGAAATGGTTAGCAATAGGCATCCTAATGAATAATTTCATTCTCTCTATACCTTGCAATAGCAGAAAATGACAAATTCATGCTGGGACTTGTTTCCCTTGAAATCAATAGAATTTTAGTTTGGGCACATTTTAAGTTGAAGGAGCTGGAATTTTGCTATCTGAACTAGTTATTAAAGAGTACTAGACTGGAGAAAATCCGTATGAAATAAAGCACTTTCCCAACCCCCCCCTCTCTCTGTCTGTCTGTCTGTCTGTCTGTCTGTCTGTCTGTCTGTCTGTCTGTCTGTCTGTCTGTCTGTCATCTATCTATATCACTCTCTTAATACTATATTTGTAACAGTTCTTTATGAAAGATATTGTGGTTACATGTAAATACTGTATCAGAGAATAGACAATTCAGTTATATAAGCCAAAATACATTATTGTGCTTCCACAAATGCTGTCTGTCTGTGTGTGCACATACACACTATATTCATTGTCTGGAACAAAGTATTGCAGCTGCGTTATTCAAATAACCATGTTTTCTGCATCTCTATAAGAATATGGTGGCCTTTTGCTAGATGGGTGGTATATAAATAAATAAATTAATAAAGTAAGTAAATATATAAGTAAGTTACTTACAGAAGAAAGTACCAGAAATAATCGTGAAGTCTCCCTAGTATTTCTTTCTTTGTTCATGTCAGAAGCACCACTGTATGACTAATAAATGAATTAGACAATTTTCGCCCAATAAGAAGCAAAATCAAGACAATTTGGGGCAACTAACATCATGTCTTCCATAGAGCATACTGACATAGGTGTGAAATTAGAACAAAGAACTCAAAGCACAAGAAGATAGCATCATGAGGGACAGCCATCGGCAGCTGATAATAAAGTAAAATCAATTGGAAGTATGAGCAATGCTCATGGAATTCCATAAATCTTAGCCATACCAGTCTGTGGAAGACAACAGAAATATCTGACTTATATCTAGCTCGTGAATTTTTGACCTAAATCTGCCCAAACTCTTTTTGACCAACTTTTAATATTTTCAGAACATACTCCTGCCTGGTTGTTGCGGGTTTTTCGGGCTCTTTGGCCGTATTCTGAAGGTTGTTCTTCCTAATGTTTCACCAGTCTTTGTGGGTGGTATCTTCAGAGGCTCTTCCAACTCCCTTTCTTAGATGTCATGATCATACACAGAACTGACTTCCTATTGGGACACAAGGCCTACAGAAAACCCACCCACACAGACCAGTACCTACACAAAAACTCCAACCACCACCCACAGCAAAAAAAGAGGCATATTCAAAACACTGGTAGACCATGCAAATCGGAATTGTGAAGCTCAATTTCTCAGCACTGTACTCAACCATCTGAATTGGGCCCTACAGGCAAATGGCTACTCCAAAAATGAAATCACAAGAGCCATCAAACCAAGAAAACAACATCGTGGTGCAGTGGTTAAAACGCTGTACTGCAGCTAAAACTGTGCTCACGACCTGGGGTTCAAATCCCAGGTAGCCAGCTCAAGGTTAACTCAGCCTTCTGTCCTTCCGAGGTCGGTAAAATGAGTACCCAGCGTGCTGGGGGGGGGCAATGTGTAGCCTATATAATTAAATTGTAAACCGCCCGGAGAGTGCTTGTAGCGCTATGGGGCGGTATATAAGTCCAATAAATAAATAAATAAATAAATAAGCTGAAGAGGCAAAACAGCCACCCACAAATAAAGTATTTCTGCCATACATCAAAGTGGTCACGGACCACATGGGGAAACGTTTGAGAAAACACAACCTACAAACAGTATTCAAGCCCACCACAAAAATACAATAAATGTTACGGTCAGCAAAGGACATAAGGGACTCCCTCACCACTGCAAGAGTATACTGGATACCTTGTAGTTGTGGCTAGGTATATATTGGAACCACGAAATGAAGCATCCACACTAGAATCAAAGAGCATGACAGACACTTCAGACTAAAACAACCGGAAAAATCAGCAGTAGCTGAACATGCCCTGAAACAAGCTGGACATGAAATTCTATTTCAAAATATAGAAGTACTGGACAACACCAGCAATCATTATGTTAGACTGCACAGGGAAGTCATTGAAATCCACAAACACCAGCACTTAAACAAAAAAGAAGAAAGTTTAAAACTCAACAAAGCCTGGCTCCCAGCACTGAAAAATACAGCATGCAAAAGGTCAACGAACTCTACCCAGCTACAAGGACCGGTGATCACTGCACACAAAAGACCAGCTAACAACATCCATCAATCACAGTGACAATAATCTGTCCTCTTATCACAATACACCCACAACAACAACAACAACAAAAAAAAAACACTGATCACCACTATCACCCATCTCCTGAAAAGGACAAAAGCTGATCCCACAGCTATAAATACTCAACTATCCAAACAAACTGCACCAGAGCACAGACAGAGTTCTGACTCCTGTCCTCTGAAGATGCAGGCCACAGAAACTGGTGAAATGTTAGGAAGAACAACCTTCAGAACATGGCCAAAGTGCCCAAAAAACCCACAACAATCATCAGATTGCAGCCGTGAAAGCCTTCGAAAATACATACTTCTGCCTGCTTCTTTGCCCTGCAAGTGATTTATGGACAGACTTCTTTGGTTTGGACCATTGACTGCTCTTGTGTAACTCCCTGACAATTAATTATCTGTGCATGAAACCAGGCCAGCCTTGACTGTCTGATTTCTGACACTTTTACCTGCAAGTATCACACATATGTAGCAGGAATACTATAGTAAATTGATCTTGGTCACACTCTCCAGACATACATAGGGATATTCTTCTGGTTTCTTCATAGCTGCTATTGAGATTCAGTCTTCTGATTTCTTAGCTTCAGGCTCCAGTTGCATTGATGATTGAACCAAGCAATAGGAAATCTTTAATAATTTTGATTTCTTTGTTGTTAAGAACCAGTGGTTCTTTTGATTGTGAAAGCAGAAATATGAGATGAGCAACTCTGTCTCTACTTTTTGTGTATCCTCTGTTATGCCTTCCTTACTCTAAGAGGCTAAGACCAGTAAAAACTTTCTCTATAAGGAAGTTGCCCCCAGCCCCTTAAGTCTTTTGATTACTCTTTTCTGCAGCTTTTCCAAATCTACAATATTCTTATGAAACAGATACTTTGTATACAATTTCTCTGTTTCATTTTTAGACTTTTGCTAATTTCATTGTTATACCAGAATGAGTTACCTTTCACAAGTTATTCAGTCTACATCCGAAACTCTTTCTCATGAGTTATTTCAGAAAGATTCAATTT